TCGACACTCTTGAGCAGACTTTCAAGAACCTTGCCACCCACGGCATCCAAGAACTGATCGGTGTACTCGATATCAAACGAACCAGAGTCGGCAGGGGCTGCGTAGTGGATGGAGGGGTACTCCAACTTGTACTTGATCGGGGAAAGGATGGTAACAATAGTCTCCTGCTTCTGGCTCTTGGCAGCCACATACACAGTGTCCAGGCCGTTCTCTGCCACCTTGAAGGGGTCAATGGGGGTAGGAGACAGGAAGCTGGAGAAACGGGAGAGCAGGCCACCGTTGCCGGTGTTCCGGAAGGGAATGGCTGACATGTTCACAACATTGATCAAGATCAGACCACCAACCATGAGAATCTTGAACCGGCGCACGTTGCTGGACTTGATCTTGCGGCCAAAGATGCTGGTGTCCGCCTCGCCAGATCCAGCGCTAGGCCAGTCGTTGCTAGAAGCGACATTCTCGGCAACAGTGTGAGTAATGCCATCCTCTTCCAGGGCCTTGCGTAGCGCCACATGACGCTTGATCCGAGTGATCTCGAGCTTGATACAGAGAATGGTGGTATAGAAGGTGAAAAGAAGCACGCAGTCAAAGAACAAGATCAAGGCCGCGAGGAAGCAGAACTGCTGGAGTCCACCTTGAACGCCAGAGGCCGCACCTAAAGCCAAGAGACCAATCTCAATGCAATAGTGTTGAACGATCTCGAATCCTTGGTCCTTGATAGCAGCCGCGATGGAGTCCTGAATGGATCGCGGTGTGCTTGATGCCAGCGGGCGAGGGGCAGCACCAGGACCAGGTCGACGATTGTCCACGGAAGCTTGCAGGACGGCCCGAGTAAACATAATCGGCTTCTCGAATCCAATGGTAACAACCAAAAATGGGAGACCTTCGGACAGCAGGAGGAGGTTGATAGGCACACCAAGTTTCGTAGTAACGTGTAGACCAAAAAGGAATGCAAAGGTACCAGAAAGGAGCACGGTAGCTGCAAGCCAAAAGTTGGAGCCCAATCGTCGCATGGAGAAGAAAAGTGAGACGAAGCTCAGGTGCATGGAGAGGTAGCCGAGAGCCATGATTACAATGTCAATGGTTTCCGCGTGTTTGATCAGATCCACAAAGGAATTCCACGCGTCCGCGATCCAGAGCTTTACGGCTCCGCGAGATCCGTAGGCCGGGCCACGAGCAGCTCGCATGATCCATTTCTTGGATTCCTCCTCATCCTCATCCGTGGATGGGGTGGGGATCTCCTGCACGGCCCTCAACAGTTCCGAGACTTGGTCAAAAGGCACGGTATAAACCAGGGAGGCGTCGTGGGTAAATTGCGAGAAGAGGTTCGGGGTATAAGGCACCGAAGCGGCGGAGATATTGGCAGGAATCGGGACATCATCAGCTGCGGGAGCAGTTGAATCGGGGTTGGTGGAATCAGGGAAGATGAGGGTTGTCAGAGCCAGGTGCTGGGCAGCAGGCTTCTCGGTCTAAGATTTTGTTGGGTTAATATTTCCTTCTCGGCACCCAAGAAGAAAAGGTGAGAAATGGGCTCACCTGGGAGTCGGTCCAGGCGTCTTCCGCCTGCCACTTCCACGAAGTTGATTCACCGAGTCGCAGATTGCGGCTTCCCTGGAGAAGAGCATCGGCGTCAACCTGTCCCGCGACACTTCGTGGATCTTTAGAAGTATCAAGCAGGCTTCCTTCGAGGAGACCCACGTAGGTAGTACTCGCAAGGATTGCAATCACCACGAGTGTGTGAATAGGGTGCACACAGGCCCGACGAGAAATGGATTGGAGGCCCGACACAATCTGACGACGGATCCAGCTGGGTTGTGTTTCGCGCTCTTCCTCTGCTGAGCGAAGGCGTTTGGAGATAAATGAGGTAGCCATGGTGACGACTCGCGGAGGAAGCGGTGAGGACGTCTGTTGAAGGCGTGGAGGGGATTTTTAAGACGGTCCGCAAGGACCAGAACCTGCGAGGAAAGCCGTCGTGGGATGATGCCTTACACCAAAACCAATCCGGAGGGGAAATATCTTTGAATTAGGGTATAATTCTATGACCGCATGTGGGTTACACAAGTCGGTGTTGAGGGACTGGGCAGAGTTCCGGGCTATTTGTTATTTTTTTTTCCCTCTTAGTTGGAGTCACCAATATCCAGATCAAAAGAAGACATACCGAGGGGAAAAATTGAGAAACTCAAGGCACAGCCCTTGGAATTGGAGGTAAAAGGGAAAAAAAGTAAGGGCCCCCCTGAAGGTAAAATAATAGTTGCCCGAGACCGCTGGAATTAAGTATCGCCGACAATGGGTCGCCAAGCCGCCAACTCAGTGGGTTTCGAGGTAATTTATTTCTAGGGATTTTTTGGGGTATTTTAAAGAAACAAAGAAAAAAATAATAATAAGAGAGGGGTTTGAGAAGAATTGATAGAATGGATAAAAGAATAATATCAATCTGACATACTTTTGGTACATTTATAAGGGGTTATTTTTCTATGTTGTAGTATTACCAACTAGGCTACATTATTTAATAACTAGTTATAGAACCTGCATAGAGTGGCTTAAATATAAACAATATTGAGGAATATTAGAATATTAGAATATTTACCTAGGTATATAAAGTACCACGAGGCTCGTTCCATAAATCCTTCCTAAATAAAACTTCCGTACAGGGTGCCACGTACAATGTACAACCCAAGCATCTGGAGCTATTGGATGTACCGGCATTTGTTCTTTTCTTATGCATTGTCGATCCTTTCAACTATAGTCATGCGACACATACAAACCTTGCTATCTTGACTAAATTGATTTCTATTGAATTCTATTCTTCGGGAAATCATGTCTAATCTTGTTCTGTATGTTGTATGTTGTACATTGTATATGATAAAACAGAATGTGGGAGACAACGATCAGCACAGACTCCACTCATTTTTCGTGGGTTACTTAACCCTGTCCTCCGTCCACGGGTATTCAAATGAGGGTTTGTTCCGTCCACGTCAGCCACACTGCCCTTAGTCTGAAGAGGAAAGTCGAAAAAACCTACGAAGTAGTCGGCGTCCAATCTGCAACTCCATGTCAGAAAAACAGAGTCCACTCAATTTCTCTGCCACTGAGACGGAATCCACCCAGTGGAGCTACGGAGAAATCTGATAAAAATCTGATAACTCTCAGTCAAATCATCTTCTCGGATTCACCCGACGCAGACTCCATGTATCCATAATAAACTCGGTAACCGAGCTTGCCAAGTTAAAAGGTGAAAAAGATAAGATCGTTTATTCAATGAATCCCGATTACTCTGGTAAGTGAGTTTGCAGAACTTATCACCTCGGTGCCTTGGGTGCCTCAGATGCCTCAGGTGGCTTTCCCGTTCCGTGTTAGTGCTCACCTCTTGTTCTTTTGGGTTACTGGGCATGGCTCCTAAGCCAAGGACCCCCGGGGCACCTCCAGCCCTGGAGCACTCACCAAGCCTTATATAATCCTACAGACCTGCCCAGGTGGGCCCCGGGGGGCCCGGGGGGCCCAGGTGGCTGCTTACTGCCTATGCATCTTTCATCGCGCTCGTTTTCGCTTTAGATACGGTGTAGATGCCGATGAAAGTAAGTCGGAAGCAATACACGAGCTCCCAACCTTAAATCCGTTGTCCAATGTGCACCCTGCCTTTTGGTTATAGAATTCAACCATTCCATTATCGTTTGTATCTATCCATGCAACAGGCAGAAGGTTGTCTTTCGTACTGCCGCATACTCCCACATCAAGCTTGGAGTAGTTCTTATGGATACCATGTGTAATCATGCTTAGATCTAGGGTTTTGTTAGTACCAATAGTATATCGGTGGACCCATTATGCACCAGAGCAATCGTCTCCATCAAGGAGACCAAAAGACGCTGAATGTCCTGTGCAGCCATAGTTATCATCAGACCATATCACGCATTGGCGATCATAATCGATAACCATGAGACTGCCACCTTAAGGCGGCGCGTATATAGACGCTAGTGAGAAGTAGGAAGATAGAGAAGGTCATGTTTCTAATATTTATAAGGATTGAAGGATGATAGACTGATTGGTATCTCTACCTTTAAGCTATTATGAAAAGGAACGATTTTGTATGGTATATCTACGAATTTAAATGTCCCCAAGTCTTATGATGCATTGTGATAAAAACCGTGGCAATACAAGCCACATAAAAAGGAACTTTGAGAGTTTCAACTTCACCAATATCTCGGACAAACCGTTATAAGCAGAAATACGAGAACTGGAATCTCAAATCGACAAAATGACATTGGAATTTACTCTTCCCACAGCTCTGATCCTGATAGACAATCAATCAGGCTTCTCCAACCCAAAAACCATATCCCATTAGGGCACCACACGGTCCAACCCGCGCTATGAAACCAACCTGCAAGCACTGCTCTCCGCATTCCGATCTGCGAGATCCTCATCTTCAACGCCACTAGAGGTAATCCACATCTTTCACTCCTCCACAACTCCGGGGTCTCCTCTCCACCCTACCAACCCGGAACAGGGTATCCGTCCTCTAGACTTCGCCACCCCTGCCTCAGATGGGTCGGAGCCTGTCTTTTGGAAGAGTATCAATTCCTCTTTATGGGTTCCGTCAGCTTGTTATTGCGGGGTTGACTACTGTGAATATTCATACTAAAAGTAATACTCTTACCACGACTATCAAGTCTTACATGCAATCGTAAACTACTTCGTCTTATCAGTAACCCTCTCGCTTAGAACATAGTGTGCGTGGTCAAACTTAGGTAGTGAGATAGGGCATTGTTGGTAAGGGAAGAGGTAATTATTTCATTTGCCCGCTTCTTAGGTACCGTCTCAAATTTTCACAAAAAAAGACGAAGAACATCTGACATCAGGATGAGTCGTTCATCAGCTAGACCTCAACTTTTAAGGATGACCTTCCCATATCTCATAAGGTAGACGAATACATCTCGATCTTCCGTACCTGACACGAAAATAAGCTAGTATCTACTAGCATTCAGCTTCTGCGGTCAACAATAGTCAACATGCAATCTGCGGGCAACCCGACTCAACCAGGAATTGACTTGGCCCTGCCAAAAGAGAAAACTCAAGAGGAAATTAATATTGAAAAGAGCGGAGATATCGATGCTCTTCAACGGTATCGGCGGAACGTCGTTATGGGAGGGCCGGGCTATATGAATCTTGGTCGAGCGGTTGAGCTTCTCCGGATAGAACAAGACCTTCGAAGCACTGCCCAAGAAGAGCAATGCCTCTCTAAGAAAGGCGAAGTTACAGACAGACGGCCATTAGATTGGCGTGATATACAGGCCGAGCTCCAGACTTTGAATAAGAGGTATTGGTTGCTAGAACGCCAGTGGTGGGAAACTCGAAACTCATTTATGGAGGGGCCTCTGATACGAGCATTTGACCTATGGCGATCACATCCTCTATGGTATATGCATCGAGTTCTGCTCGAGGATTGCGTGAGGAGGGGAGGATGCTGTGGCCGGAGCTGTGGATGTTGCGTAGATCGCAATATTGATAAGACAAGGCAGCTTGGAGCTGGACATTGTACTATGGAATGTGGATGTTGTCGTCAAAGTCGGGGATTTGATCTTACTGAAGATGAAAAGATGAAATTGCTTAAGGATTTTCATGCCCTAGATGACAATAGTCCTTACCGTGAGACGATCAATCGAGTTTCAATATACGGGTTATGTCTTGATAGTCATGACAGCCCCTTCGATCTGATTATAGCTCCCCCGGGATGCGAGAGGGGGGTTTCAAAAGAGCGGATGGCAACAGCCAAGGACGAATCAGATGAGCTATTCATGCTTGGTGATGAAGAGGACTGGGAAGAAGTTGTGGTACCTTAAGCGTCTGTGCTAACTTGAAATTTCTTATGGAATGAAATCCCTTTTTGAATCTCATCAAGCTGTATTGTTCCTTCCTATTTAGGACCATCCGTGCCTGCCACTATAGTTCATGTTTCACGTGGACCTTCCACTACCTTACTACCTTACGTAGAGAGCAAGATTCTGATTCTGTAAACTTCGCAAACAACCAAAATTTCTCATCGTGAGCCTTGCCAGCACTCTTTCTACTAGTCTTTTTAAAGGTCTTTTTGAAGGTCCTTTTGCTAACATAGTCTGCCCTACTAGTTAAAGATGCCTATGAGTGCTTACACTATCGGCGATGCCCCGTCCCAAGAAGGCTTCTTTGGCCCCCTTACCTCGTTTCTTGAGCATCTGTTGGCCGCTGTGGCCCCAGACGTCACGACGTCTTTTCTTTGGCGTCTAGTCGGAATGTATTTTTGTGCTGTACGCAAGACGCCTCGACGCCGCGATCGAGCAGTTGACCGACTTTTATGCACTCTTCCCAGCACTCTTTCCAACACTCTTCTCGTTAGCTACTAATATAAATTATAGTTACTTCCCCCTTCAGGACCAGGATGTGCGACCTGCCGGAGGTGATGGAGCCGCGCCGCCCGCCAGAACGCTGAAGTCTAGTACCAGGTAAGCCCATTGTGCAACTTGTGTGTACTAAAATATACCTACATATTATTACATCGATATTCTTTATGTTTGTGGATTCTTTTTCTCTTTTCTTGACGCACTGGACTGTTCAGAAGTGCTAACAAATTACGCTACAGATTGGACCAGCTTTCCCATTTCTTTTCTTCTTTTTCCCTTTATAAATAATATGTGGGCTCTCGATATATAATTACAGAGAGCAAACGAAATGCAACAACAATCATTATTCCTTCATGTTAGCTTTGACATTCTCCGTAGCATTAGCAAGTATGGATGAAGCAGTGTGGATCGAGCGCTACAAAGCAGCGAATGCCCGTGAGAGACAAGCACCTTGTCCAAATCCACAGCTATAATCCCACTTACTACTTCGGTAAATAGACCTACTAAAGCTTTTGTGGGAGTCTAATAAAGGGCCACTTAATATATATATGTGTGTGTTGTGTGTTTGTGTAATAAGCAGATAACTATGTAACTAGTAGTCCAGTTGACCAAATGAAACGGATATTCGTTGTCATTACCACAAGATCGTTGTCTCCAGAAATATAATATAACAATAATAATAAGATTACGATAAATCTCTGGTTAATTTTTGTGACAAATGTACAACATAGGCAGGATTGTTCAGAATCAGAGGTATCATATATTCTGTGGATAGGGCCTCTTATGGCAGGTGACCTGGATGGAAAAATGCAAACAGAGCAATCTTCAGGAAATTAAAGCGCTAAAGAGAGTCTTTGTTTTTCATTTTTTTCCCTCAGAGATCTAAGGGGGTCTCCTTTTGTTAGTTTCGACTCCGACGGCGAAGCGCCCAGGGGCCCTGAATCAGCCAATGACCGTGCTTACTGAGCCAACAGACCTGCAGACCTGCAACATACTTGCAAGCTTGGAAGATCGAGCACCTAAATTCATGCAGATGTCACGGCTACGCGCCAGGAGCGGAACCAAGCATGTCTCGAAATATTCCGTGACTCTAAATATCTCCCGAGAAAAGCCCTCTCACCCAATCATTTCTTGCTTTGTATAGAAGCTAGGGCATGGGGCCTATATCTCAGACTATTAACAGCTTTGATTGTAACGATGATGGTTTGGTATCAGGTTCAGAGCCTCTCCAATTAGACAACACAAGGCTCGATGTCAGACAATGGTTTCTTTATGTGTAACGGATTCCCTGGAAACCCTTTCATACCATTCTTATCCTTATTTTTGTTGCAGCCTGGGGGTGTTTCGGTGAAAGACCAACAATCGACCCATTGTCTATTCACGCCTATTGTCATATTGTCACGGGTCAATCCTTTCAATCATTTCAATGATTCCATTCATCTCGACAAAGCCCATTGTTGCAGTCTTCGACCTGGCCGCTTCATCGATCTTCTACACTCAATAAATAGGGCACTTCCCTCTTTATCATCCTCACCTCTGTTGCATACCTTTACGATCAAAGAAAGAAAACACTGCAACACCTACTCGAGTTGACGCCGCTGGCCGCCGTCCTCTTCAAATCCACAAACCCTTATTTTCGAACCTTACATATCCAAAACCACTATCACGATGTTGATCATCCTATTGGTGGTGCTCATTATTCTATACACCCCAACACGAGCCCATTCTTGGGTGGAAGAGCTCACCCTCATTGCTCCAAATGGAACCTTCGTCGGCACTCCAGGATATGCACGAGGGAACTACCTGCGCACGACATCGGGCTATAGCGACACTACCATGACCTACTTGATTCCGCCCAACACAAGAGAAAATGTGACCCTGATTCTACCAACCGACAAAATGTGCAAAGACACCCAGCAGGATCAAACACAGTCAGAGGGAAGCCCTCGGCTTGAAGCCAGCGCTGGCGCGGCGATTGCCCTTCGCTACCAAGAGAATGGCCATGTGACACTCCCCCAGAACCAACCCGGAAAGCCTGCCAACCGTGGAACCGTTTACGTATATGGCACCACACAACCCAAGACCGGTGAAAAGTTCCTTGATGTCCATGGGGCCTGGACACAAGATGGCACCGGAGGTGATGGGCGGGGTGTGCTCCTGTCAGTGCAGAACTACGACGACGGCCGTTGCTATCAGATCAATTCGGGGCAAATCTCAGCGACTCGACAAACGAAGTATACCCACACAGCAGACCCACGGATGGGAACAGACCTCTGGTGTCAGCAGGATATTCAACTGCCCTCCGATGCTCCCAGCGGGAAGCCCTACACACTCTATTGGGTCTGGGACTGGCCCACCGCTGCCGGTGGTGATCCCACATATCCTAATGGAAAGGCCGAGATCTACACAACTTGTATGGATGTGGACTTGGTGAATAAGGTCAGCAAGCAGGCAATCAAGAGCAACTATGAGACTGATCAAGATCTCAACAATGCTGCAATCCCTTCGCAGTTTGATGCACTCGGCGGTGCGATATCTTCTCAGCTATCCGCCCAGTCATCCTCTCAGTCATCCTCTCAGCCGACCACATTTGTCACATCGTTAGCTGCTGCGACAGGGGTTGAACCTAAAACAGTCACAGTGACAGATTGGGAAATCAGCACCAGCACTGTATTTATGGCTGGGAGTCAACCCACATAAAATGAGGTTGAAAGACCCAAACATCCAAGATAGGACAATGCGACTGAAAATCTGAATGAAATGACAACCCTTTTGTTCCATCGTAAGCTAGTTATCCCCTTGTAAGGTAAATCAATGTATCAGATGCCCTGTATACATAAATCGAACCTGAAGACATTGAAGTAGAACAATTCCATATATAGCCTTCAGTCCCAAATAGGAATAGACGAAACCAGACTTTGAAACACGCTAAGGTTGGGTAGCACGTGATTGTCGACGGGTTCAAGCTTCACCCATTCACACACGTCCAACTCTGTGACTCTTGAGCGGCTGCCTTGCATATCGGCTGATTCCTGCTGCTTCCTTTGCTACAGTCCATCAGGATAAATCATATTGTCCCCAAACAACCAACAGCCCCCGATCCCCAAACCCACCTACGTGCTGATCATTACTCCGGTCTACCTCTAACCTAGACAGGTATGGCAATCTCCGAGTATTCACTCAGTCTATTTCTCCTCAAATTTCCCATCTCCAATTTCCCTTTTCCCTTTTCCCATGTGGCCTTGACCTAATCCTTGTCACCGTGCGGTCTGCACATTCTTTCCCGCATAAGCGCTGTGCCTCTATTACACTTGTATCTGACATTGGCCCTTTCTGCAGTTTTCTGCTATATTTAGCAATTTCCTGCCCTCGAGATCGCGGGACAAACGGCTGGAACAACGGTCTCGATTTCACCAATCCCACTTTGAACGTATATTCTACTACGCAAACTTTGCAAAATCACTGGGTTTTTCTCGTTGATACCATCTTCCCATCGTGATATCGACCCCGTCGCGGTTCGGCGTTCCACTCGGACCACATTTGCCCCCCCTCCCTCGTGTCGTTTGCCGATTACCCACCCATTCACTGTCCACCACACCGGGGCCCCTTGGGATAACATCATTTTTTTTGGCTCGAAAAGCTTGACATTCAAGGGCTGCCCCTTGTTTGAACCACACGGACCTAAAATCGTTTTTTGGCCCCTTACGACTTTGGCGCTTGCTATATCGTACCTGAGCCCAGTATCTCCTCGATCTCCGCTCACAAGATATACCTCCCTTGTTCGAACCGAAGGAACACCCGCTGTCTGCGATTACAATTACAATAACTTATAGACTACGTCAATCGCAATGCGAAACTAGATCGCCAACCGCGCGACCGATGAACAACCCCACATTTCCTTTTCTGAGATCCGCCCCGTTATTCCTCATTCTGAACCCAATTCTGGGTCTTTCTCTATGTCAACCATGATGTCCTCTCCCACATCATCGCAGAACATTCTGTCCACAAACAATCTCTCAGTGCTGCCACCCATCCTCACCGATGGGACAGTGAAACGATCATCGACGCATCCGAAGGATCGGCTCTCTACCTATTCCAATGTCTCGCTTGCATCGCAAAATCGTTCGCGCCCAGGCTCCCATGTCTTCCCCATTTTCCATACCAGCCTTCCATATGCTCTTGTGCGAGACTTCGCCTACCCGTCCACCCACCCGCTCCATTACGGGCCTCCCCCTCCTCGTGCCTCCGGGGTCTCCACCCCAGCAAGTGAACATCGACGCCTCTCCGATCCACCACCTTCGTGGGATATATCGCGGGGATGGTCAACAGGCCAATCGAGCACAGAACCTCAGAGTAGCCACGTCCACCAACAGTTGCCAGCCATGTCCTTTGGGGACGGACCACCATACAGCGAGGATGAAGACCTGCATAGCCCAGTTGTGACCTCGCGTCATCGCAAGAAGTCTTCTGACATAAATGGTCTTGTAGATGAGAGGGTCATGTCTGGAACTGGCCAGGCGGTTAGCAATGATCGCGGAATGCTCGTCGGCATTAACGCCGATGGCAGTGAGACTTATTATGTAAATGATGGTGACACGTCAGATGATGGGCCAGGCGGTGAGTACGTGACATATCCGGCAAATGAAGGGCGCTATTCAATCATGGGATACAGCGCCCCAGGTGGCCAGCAGGGCTATGAACATGACCCTGGCTTTGAGTCCGAAGATGAAATCCCTGGTGGAAACCGATACTCTAGAGACTATCAGTTTGCCGTTGGCTGCCCGGATGAAGAGATGCATGGAAAAGCTGTTGCACTCTTTGACTTCACACGAGAGCATGAAAATGAACTACCTCTTACCGAGGGCCAGGTGATTTATGTTTCATACCGGCATGGCCAGGGTTGGCTAGTTGCAGAAGATCCCAAGACAGGGGAGAATGGCCTTGTCCCGGAGGAGTTTGTGCGTCTTCTGCGAGACATCGAAGGAGGTTTGACGTCGTTGAACGGGGAACCGAACTCTGAGGCCACCGGGACTACAGATGTCAATCTAGGCTCCACCGAGTCTGACCAAATATCTACGCCTACCCAGGTAGAGCAGCCTTCATCTGACGTGAACACCCAGTCTGAAAACAAAACCACCAACGGCAACGGCAATACCCCAGCTGCAGCCTCAACGGAAGACGCAGATGCATCTCAACCTGTGTCGGATACTAAGATCCCGACTGGTAAAGCGGTGGAGGACGCCGATAAGCGCTCTAGTACGGTGAACAAAACCTGATCCAATCGGGCATTAGCCCTGGATGGCTTTGTTCCATACAAAACCTTGGCGGTGCTCCGTGCACGAATTCTATGGAGAGATGGCTTGTCTGTTTCAAGTTGCAATTCGCCATGAAACCCAGACAGCTGATAACCAAAGCTTGGCACCCTCCACTTTCCTGTGACTTGGAAGATTTCAGACATGAAACATATATAGTTGGCTCGCTATATGAGTTATTTCATTGATGAACACTCAACCAACACCTTGGTGGATCACCCGCCAAATCCCAACCACCCAATCTCCGAGACCTTTCCAGAGCTCTATCTCAAGAGGTCTTTTTTTTTTTTCTTTCACCCTTCTCTTCGGACGCTTTCGTCAGATATAAACCCTCCTCTTTCTTTCCCTCCTCATGTTCAGCCCATCTTCCCGCGATGAATCATTACCGCAAGTTCCTCTTTATTAACGTATATCATCTCTCCACGATTTCAATTCATGTCTTCTAATCATACACATCGGGAAACATAACCTGGGATTGAAGAGGATTGAGAATCCTCTTACTACATACCCCAAGTATTTCGCCATATTGTCGCCTTATCTGTTCTGTCTTCCCACAATGTCTCTTATTACCCCTATCGTCCATCCTCCCTCTCCTGTATTTAGTCCCCTTCAGCGCAGCCGTTATACCAGCATCAATGAGCATCAGCATAATGCCGATTCAAATCTATTCAATTACCACTTATCATAAGATGTATCCCTAGTTATATATTGAAAGGTCCTCTGCACACATGTGCAGTTCATGCTTCTTAATGCCTTCATATAAATCCAAAAATACCACCCAAAAACATATCACATGGCCGCATAGAGGTGAGATCCAGGGTCGAATAAGGGAGGGTAGGGAGTAGACCGTAAACAATATACAAGTAGGATCAATGAAGAAGCCCTAATGTATGTCTAAATACCGCCGTACTGCTGATAGATAAAGCACATCTCGATGTATCATTCTTCGGTGAGATATGGACAGTTTGCTGTTCAGCGCCATTAGAAAAACATCAAATATGCGGAGATCGGGCATGTCCAGCGCTTGGGACACGTATAGAAGAAAAGATAGACTTTTACGCGAAGAGGATAAAAGCCAAAAGAATTCGCAGCCTGCTCTGCTATAGTGCAGATATACCTAGGGAACCAACTGGAGAAGAGAACAAATGGGAATTGAATGGAGTATACAAAAAAGCAGAAGGAAGAAGAAGTAAAAAAAGACATAGTCAAATCTGGAATTCCGAATGCTAAAATCATGGCAACATATCGCAAATGTAAGAAGCGAGCATGGACTCAGCGGGGGAAGGAGAATGGTAACGAGTTGCTTTGCTAGCTGATTAACTAAGCAAATCATCAAAGGCCGAGCTAGACTGTTGCTTGTTCTGGGGCTGGCTGGGCGTGGAGGAGGTGCTGGAGGGAGCTGGAGCACCCCAGATGCCGGCGCTAGCTTTTTCCTTGGCCATGCTGGCAAGGTTGGGGCCCTTGTGTGTGCCAGTGTTGGATTTCTGGATACCGGCGCTGGCGCTGGCGGTCGACCACAGCGAGCCGAAGGCGTCACCCGAGGGTTTCTTCGCTGCTGCTGAAGCTGGCTTGTTCGCTGTGGTGGGGGAAGCCACGGAGGACATGGAGGTGGTGGCACCGTGAGAGGATCCAGAATGTTGGGGCACGTGGACAGAGGTGAAGTAGTTGGGTGTGGCAGCTTGGTAACCGGAGGGCTTCTGCTGTTGCATCGGGGCCATCTGCGAAAGGGGAGTTGGGATCCCGCTGGAAGAGGGAGTGGGGGTGGCCGATTTGAAGCCAACTAGACCGTCGAGGTTGGCACCCTGCGAGGCCGAGATTGGCTGAGGCGCAACGAATTGGGTGTTCGAACTTGTGCTGGCAGTGGAAGCCGGAGGGGGATGCCGAACTGGTTTGACGACTGAGTAGGCTGGGTAGCCGGGGTTGCGGACTGGAAGTCGTCAAAGTCGTCGTCGTCGGCTGGGGTTGGGTCTAGTATGTTGAGAGCACTGCCGGCAGGTTGCTTGCCGGTTGAGGTGGAAGCTGTGGTTGTAACAGGCTCGTCGTCGCCAAAGTCGAAGAGGTCTGCCACAGGCGCAGGAGCTGGCTCGGGCTTCTTTGCTTGGGGCTTCGCCCGGGCGACAGGCTCACGCGGGCGTGCGGGGGCATCTCCCTCGTCATACTCGTCATACTCTTCGAAGCGGTTGGGCCGGCGTCCGGCGTCCTGGAAATCAACGCCAGCTTGCCCGCCAGATTCCCCACCAAAGCCACCGCCGTCACCGTAGACACCTCCGCTGTATCCACCGTACCCCATACTCTCACTACCAAAGCCTCCATAACGACCCGAGCCCGAGCTAGACATTCCTGATCCGGCACCCATACCACCTTCGAAACCACTGAACTTGTTGCGGTTGTTCTTGGCCTTTTTTCTTTCAGTCCGAATCTGATCCACATCTCCCAGTAATTTCACCAGCTCGGACGACCGGTTGCGCACATTGATACCCTGGTCCTTGCCGTTCATATCAATATAGTGGAACTGCCGGAGCATCCGAATCAACGACATGTGGGATCGTGCATCATCGACGACTCGTTCGGAACCGTTCTTGACAAGGAATTCAAGGAGCTGAAGACTCTATAAATTGGAGGAAAAATAGCGTTAGTCATAGCACATCCGCATACATAACCATGCTTCTCTTACCTTGTAAATCTGTCGCCATTCCTCTGCAGCCTTGTCGGTGAATCGCTTGTAGATAATGGGCATGATCTCATTGAGTAATTGGCTGTAGTAACGGGAGGTCAGCGCATGCGCATTGGTGTGGGTAAGATCGGGAAAAATGAACTGACTAGCTATGCGTTCCATTGGCAATATCCTGCATCAACGTGGTCGAGGCACCCCAGGGTTCATTGTTTGTAGCTTCCCGGACCTGACTTGTGTAAGCGTTGGATCGCATAACCTCCCCATCTTCACCCTGTGAAAGGTCATGTTGGTTTGCGCAGAGGCGATTGCATACGAACCTTGGATTCCATCTCGGTATAGTTCATGACAGCTATGACGGAATCACATCAGTTCCTGAATCAGATTATAAGACATGCAAGCTGGTTCGGCTTTGTTCACAATGCACTCGGACCAAGCGGAATTCAAACTTACCATTCTGCACCTTGCGAACACCGGCCTTGAGGTCATACAAGGACATGTTGCTGACCTGGTCTTTGAGGTTGGAGAAATCCATGGCGAGGGGTGACTGCTAGTCGTCAGGACAAATATGGGGAAACGAGTATCTAGTAAAAGAGATAATAGCAGCACAGGCAATTGGAAGCCTAGCACAGAAAGAATCAGAAATCCCTCAGGACTAACGTGAGCAGTTGGAGGGGGGAAGATGCCCGGTTTCCAGCTGGCAACCCGATTGAATGCGCCACGTCACGTGGCAACCCCTGACCAAGCCTTGTATACTTCCAATGGCTACAATTAACGACGGTTCTATTTTAAATTCTACTTTCTACTAGAAAGGTTCTCTGGAAAATTGAATTGTTTTACAATTGATACTGAATGGTATCATACTGCGTACATGTTATTCGCCCGTATAGACCGAACGCTATCGCTATCGAAATCAACAAAAATACCCATGGTATCTTAAACAAAGACAATAAGAAAAGATAAAAGAGAAGGGGAAAAAAGACAGGAAAAAAATAATGATATCAATAAGAATGTGCACGCAATTCATCCCTCATCAAGTCCATAAGCCATGGCTCTCACTCGTTATAGAACTTCTTCATGATCAAATGCAAGAAAAGGTTAACATTGACTCGCATCTGTCCGTCAAAGAAGTCCATGAATTGCGTGTTGTTGAACTGAGCCTGCAGCAAGTCGTCCAGCGGTACCTGTGCGTTGGCGCCGGGAATCATCATGACACCGCTGCTCCCGTCAATGGTGAATACACCAACTTCGTTACTTGAGATGGTCAAGTCGACCCGATCCCATTGCCGCTCGGCGTAGCCCTTCCAGGCAACCAGAACACCTCGGTCCGCCAGAGTGCGCGCAGAGTATTTGTAGGATCCGAATTTGAATATCTTGCCCGATTTTTGCAGCTCTCGTTGATGATCCCATTGTTTGGTGAACGGCATCAGGAATCGCTTCTTTCCCTTCTTGTTCTGTAACGTGATCATGGCCTGCTCAATGTAATCGTTGTATGTCTTGAGCTGCTGGTCTAGGTAGACGGCTTGGCCGCTGAGCCTCTGAGAGGTCAGGCGAGCACCCTCCAGTTCACGCTCTCGCTGAATTCTCCGACGATGCTTAGTACGGATGTCGGTCGCGATGGCGTTCAACAAATCCTGATAGTGGTTGTGACGATTGATTTTGCCATTCTGTTCAAGCCGAAGAATGTTTTCGAGTGCAATGCCCTTGAGCTCGGAATAGCTCATAGCACTAATGTCAATTAAGCTATTGGCTTCAGAGTAGGCGCCTCGTCGAGGGTTGTTGTTACTCAGTTCTTCCCGAACCAAAGTGTGCCACCGCTCCTCGTCCTCAACTGTCGGTGGCTTGAGCATGACGTCCATTAGGTTGGCACCGGTTTGAACTCGGATGATGTAAAGGATGCAGCGCTTAGTCTCCATAAAGAGTGTCTTAACATCTGCTTCGGGGTCTAGAAGGGAGAATTAGAAAAATGAACAGGTAGGGGCTTGTTTCGATCTCTTACCTTCAACCTGGGCCAGCTTGGGATTCAACGTCAGATTGATCTCGGTAGAGCTGACGCCCATCAATTCGCTCTCGTTACTCTTGACATTGCCAAGTTCGCGCACAAGTTCCTTGAGGAAGTCATCAGGGTGGGGGCACATATGGTTAATCTCAGACGCCACCAGCTGGTGAATCGAGAAGATGTCAGACATCTTAATGTACAGGGTAGGCTTGGCCTTGGCATAGAGATCATTGAATTCATCAATGTCGAAATAAGCCTCTGCATCCTGGACTGAGATCATTTGACCCCAGATACGGCCTAGACGCTGGATTGACTCTGTAAGGTAGTTGTTGAGCGGCTGCAGATAGACGTTCTCTACTCCAAAGAGTCTCCCAGATGCAATTTGAGCGAAGACCTTCGATATGTCTCCAAGATTTCGCTTTTGTTCTTGGGTGAGGCCACGATCGATCACACCATATTTCTCTGGCTCCAGAACAGCAGGCTGGAAGTAATTTTTCCACACCCAGTGCCCGACTGTCTGAAGAATCAATCCAGGGTCCTCACCAGAGAACCTCTGGAGTAGGTTTTGATACATCTGCTGCGCAAGATACCTGATACCGAATGGCATACGGTACAGGGAGTCCTCAAGGCCAAGGAATAATTGGTCAACAATGTCACGAAGATCCTGCAAATGCTGAATGAACGTCTCTCTGGTTTCGGGGTCTCTGATCGCTTCTTCTCTGGGAAGATCCGGTTGCCGGCGGCTTCGTTGGCCGGTCTGAAGCTCCTCGTTGTTGATTGCGGAACGGTAGATTTGAATCGGATCACTCTCCAGGTCAAGATCTGGGTTTTCGATAACAGACTCCTTTACGACAGCCCCCAAGACGTCGCGCATAAACTTCCGATCGCGTGATGACTTGGCATATGAGCCGAAGAGCTTGTTCCAGAAGGAGGTACAGCGCAAATATTCAGGAAGAGATGTGAAGCTTTCAATGTCCTCTTTGACGGATCGTGCCAGGAGCTTAATGAGATAATACTCCTCGCGTCGTTTCTGGGAGTATCCAAAGAGACCCATCATCAAGTGGCGGATCCGCTCATATTCCTTGTCAGAAGTGTTGACCTCGCGCAATCGCCGGAACAAGCGAGCCAGATACTGTGACTGGGTTTGGAGAAGGAAGAAAAACACCTGATACTGGTCCAACTTTTTCCTTGAGGTCTTGTTAAGGGCCTTCAGATCGTAGGGATCCTTGGAAGAAATCTCAGTGTTAGATAGCAAGTTGCCAATGTGACCACCAAAGTGCTTTTGGTGCTTCACGACTTCATCCAGAGTAATCTTGTTCTTGACAAGAAGAGCAATCTTGATATCAAGTTGACTGATGTACTGTTCAGCAAGCTCGTTTTGTCGCACTTGTTGAACAACCGCCTTTCGCAGACGCTCGAACTCGATCTCTTCGTCGAAGTCGAAATCGCTGTCGTTGAGAAGGTGCACGAACCCCTTGACTGTTCCAACGGGTGGATTCTTTCCGCTGGTCAGACTCTTATAAGCCTGACCTTGGATGCGGGCTCGGATAACACTCTGGGCCTTGATCACCTTCTCCATGTTTTCATTATAATGCTGGCGTCTTTCCTCAAAGCGGTTGCATACAATGTGTCCTCTGACGCGTGCTTGGAAGTCTGTGATGAAATCCTCCTCTACCTCAAGATCGGTCAGGATCTCACCAACTTCAACTCGCGCGAGCATTGCCCGACTTAAAGATTGGAGTTGAACAACTTCTTCCTCGTTATCCTCAAGCTGAGACAATATGTCGCCCACCTCCATTCGTGAGATAGCAGCACGAGCCAGGGCCTGAAGATCAACAATGGCATGTTCATGCTGCCCCAGTTCATGCCGTTGTGCAAGTAGATAGTTTCTGTGGATGACGCCACGGGATCGGGACTGTAGTTCCAAGATAGAAGGTTCCTCCTCGAGCAATGCGGTCCTCTGGGCATCCAATGCTTCTCTCAAAGCCTGTCCCCTGAGAATAGCCTGCAGGTCGATAACTGGCAACAGATGTTCCGCAAGCTCGGAAAGAATGGCTGAGGTGTCTTTTCTTACAGCAGCGGCCCGCACGATAGCTTGCAATGCAGCACATTCATTTTCTGTTTCTTCTAGTGCCTCCAGCAGCAGAGTTTGGCGTTCTCGAGCAATCAGAGACCTGATAGTTGATTGAATGCAGATAATTTGGGATGCTTCGTTGTTGAGCAGAACCTTCATCTGAGACAAGTTCTGACGAGCAATCGATCCTCGAATTACTGCCTGCAGCGACTTGACGGGTGTTTCCATTAGTTTTACCTCGTGGGAGTGAGCACTCATTTGTCTTCGTTGCAAGGTACCGCGGATGGCAGCTTGGAGCGATTTGACAGAACTACCAACCTGCTGCACCTCCTGAGACTGAACATTCATTTGTCTTCGTTGCAAGGTACCGCGGATGGCTGCTTGTAGCGACTTGACGGAGCTGCCAACCTCCTTCACCTCCTCAGATTGGGCATTCATCTCTCGTCGTTGTAAGGCACCACGGATGGCAGCTTGAAGCGACTTGACGGAACTGCCAACTGGTTTCAGCTCTCGAGACTGATCCTCCATCTGTTTGCGTTGCAAGGCACCGCGAATAAAAGCTTGAAGTGATCTAACATCATTTTCAGCATATCGAGACTCTTCGTATTGGTCACCAACATTCATGCGTTGCAATGCACCTCTTATCGCGGCCTGGATCTGCTTGATACCAGACTCTTCTCGTCGTGCAAGAGTTTGTAGCTGACTAGCCTGTGCGCGAGCCCTAGACCCCCGAACCAGGCTCTGAAAGTGCAGAACATCTGTTTCCTGAGATTGTCGCCATTGCTTGTCACCTTGTTGACCGCGACGTACAATGAAGCCTCGACTAATAGCCTGCAGCCCAACTGCAAACTGGAGCATGCTTAGTCGGTATTCACTAATTTGCCGTGCCCAATCTCCACGCAGACGTGACTGTAGCTCAATGAGGAGGGGTTCAAAGTCCCACAGATCGTTCATCGTGTTGCCAAGCTTTAAACGCATCATAGCTCCTCTGACTTGAGCCTGGAAATCACAGATTGAGGCTTCATTTTCGTGTAGCTCTCGATCAATACGATCCTCCTCCGATTCAACAGGCTCGGGTTCCGGTTCCGGTTCTGCACCAAAGTTTGCAGCCATACCTGCAAAGCTAGGCATGCTCACGCCGGCCTTGTCCAGTCCTTTTTGGGTTTTCTCAAGTTCGTGATGTTCAAACTCAAGCTGACCAACCAAGTTACCCATTCGGAAGTCTAGCATGCCATTTTTGAAGAGCAACCATGACAACGCGTGAATGCAGTGTATGACCTTGGGGATGTTTTTCTTTTCATACAAGTCGATGAGTTCGAATCGAAACAACTCTGGCAACTCAATCTCATCAAGGAAACGGAAGAACAAGGCGATGTTGTCGGAATGGCGATATTGTAACTTGGGGTGTCGGAAAATGCGAAGGACTTTGCCCGCATACATTGCTTGCACCACCTCCGCCAAAGTGACGCCGTCTCGCAGTCCTTCCTCCAGCTGAACGATTGGCGGAATTTGCTTTTGAATTACATCCTCAATCCACTGTTTGGCTTCTCCTATATGGCACAAATACTCGTATGCTTGGATGAATTGTCGCTGCTGGTCCATCCAATTTCCGGCTGCCCATGAGGACGCCTTCGGCTTTTCGGGAGATACTGCGCCATTCCTTCCGGCTACCGAGTCCGCTCGCTTAAGCCTTCGTCGGCCTTGTAAACCCACCACAGAGGCTGCGGCCGCGCCGAATTCATTTTCACCGGACTGCGCAAACTTCGAGAGAGTTCTGAGATGACCCGTGGATGATTTTTGCAACGTTTCAAGTTCGGGTGCAGAGAGTGCAGCAGTCAGCTGCGGGGGATGAGCACTGTGAGCCAATGTCTTTTGGGGAGATGAAGGACGCGATGTTCCTGGCACGGGAGACCAGTTGCGGGGAGATGTAGGCGGTGGTGGGCTCTGTGGTTCGTAGGTGTGTGTTTGGTGACGCGGGGACAGATTTTCATGCGGAGACAAATTTTCTTTAAGATGGAGATGACGCGATTCGGGGGTGCTGGGTCGATGGTCCTTCCACGGGCGTGATTCATTGATTGTTTGGCTTCGTGAATGTCGGTACCCGCCAGTATTCGCGGTTGACAATGAAGTATTAGGGGCTTGTGGTAGTGGTCGGAGAGATCGGCGAATATTGTCGTACGCTGTACCAGCATTTGACCAATTTCCTCGTTCCATTGCGTCTGTAACAGTCGTTCCTGAGCTTATACTGCTTGCCTCGCTCTTCCCTCGGAAGTGACCCAAATTGTGTGATGTCGATGCATTAGAGGAAACGGTGCTAGTCCGACTAGGTGCAAACGAGCTTGAGGCGACGGAATATGCAGACGAGTTCGTGGACGCTGTCGACCCGTGTCGTAATGGACTGGTGGACTGCGAGGGAAGGTCCGTCTGGGCCCGGTTGAGGGATGGAAATTGAGTCGACATCATTTAATCTCAGGACGGTATGCAAAATTGGATTGAAAAATGTCGCGCTCCTTTGACCGCATCCCTGCTCTGGTGGTAGATGCGGAATGCGCGGGTTAAACAAGGTCTCCAAGACCTTTTCCAGAGAGACGTTCTAGATTGGATACCATTCAAGGGCAACCTCCCATGACTTATCTGCGGAGAAAATCCAATTAAATGATGCGTGACTTGTGTCAATAAGGTCTGGGCTCGTGGATCCCCGATGATGGAATTGTTGACGGTGGGGGTGCAAGTGCGACCAAGATTCCCCAAAGTGGGCGCAGGGGGCACAACAAATCTCCAGATCGGGTATGGCGCAATCAGGTGATTGTGGCTTGTCGATCTTGGGTCACGTGGTATTAAGAACTAAGAGATTGTGTTACTCAACAAGTCATACATTGGACATGGATCCGTTAGTTACTTACTACTCACTTTCCATTATTCTCGAAATTGGCAAAGTCCCTCACGGTAAATTTCTCGATATGCTGAACATTCCTTCCAATCCAACATCGGACGTATCAGAATACCTGCAGTCTTGGCAAAAGTGGCTTGTGCAATTACCCAGGTTTAAGTGGGCTCGTAGTCCCGTGCGACCAACACACCTGGGCAGCTTTCAACCTTCGATCACCAAGTACATTGTAGGCCGCCAATTGATACGCATATGCATATTCCATGCTAGCTGGTACTTTTAAGACTTTGATTGCTTCCGATAGGGACTTGACACTTTTTGGGGGCCTTTCTCCACTAAATATCGTGCTCGATACTCTTATCTTCTGTCAAGATCGATCGGTGTTATTGCAAGACATCCATAAGACATCCATGGATATCCTGGACTATTACAATGAAATACTAAGAAAGTCAAACTCATGTAAATTAAGAAGGCTTACTAACAGCTGATGGAAGAATTTAAGGCATGATTGGAGATTGGTAACCAATTTTGGTGCTCTATATCCTGCGCGTTCTCCAGGGATATATATATATATATATCTTCCGAGAATTCTTATTCGAAATGTATCTTTATATCAATCCAGCATTACAGACAATATTACTCACAACCCAAATTCAAATATATCATAAATTTCCTTGTATGTCCACCTGAATGACTACCTAGGTAGGGTTGGTTGGAAGCAGACAAACACCAAAAAATGGCGAAATACTCCCAGCGCGTTCGAAAGGGAAGTTGCCGGTTGAACCGACCCCGCCAACAACCTTGAAAAGAGACCACCTGACAAACCTTGTTTCTGTTCTTGTTATATACCTATCACCACTGACTCGGTGAATAAATTTGCTTCCTTTCCATCATTTTTATCATGGCTTCGCTACCTTCTCAACCTCGCTACATCTACAAGATTGTTCCTTCCACTGCACCAGTCCGCGAGCCAATTCCTGAGCGGCTCACGGTAAGCGAACTGGACAACAACGATGGTTTCATCCACCTCTCTACGGCGCATCAAGTTGGAGGCACCTTGAAAGCATTTTTCACCGAGGAACCACTTGTCTATATATTGCGAATCGAGTATCATCGCGTGATCCAAGATATCCGGTGGGAGTCCCCAGACGGGAAAGTGTCTGGTCCTCGACCCGGCGAAGGACTTTTCCCAGTAAGTTGAAATGTCAGTCTCAGATTGAATTTTGCTGAAATAAAGTCTAGCATCTCTATAATGGACTCAAACTGGGCAGAGAGGAGATTGAGAGTGTCGCGATCTGGCAGAATGACGAGGGATGGGACAAAGCTCTCACTGCAGGGAAGCCGTGGCTCCTGTACTGACTTTATGTCCCGTTACATTTGAATTTGATAGAAATGGCAAGCACACGCTCAGCACAATGTTCTGACGACATCTCCACTAGTAGACAATGCTCCCTGCAACATTACTTAGTCACCAAGCGGGTAACAGTGCAATATCTGCCCATCTATAATGTATGGTTATTGCATATTAGTCACATTGTAAAAAAATCGTGATTGGAGGTGTAGGATATTGACAACTCACAGTATAGAGAAGCTTCCGCACTAGCCAAGAAGACGAAGCTTGTCGCAACCTCACTAGGCTCGCCTGGTCGGCCAAGACGAGCCTTTCGGCCCCATCCTTCCATCTCTTGGGCATCTCGAGTGTCGACTTGGATTGGTGTATAGATTGCACCTGGACTAGAATTAGAAATGCGTCAGTATGTAAATTCAAAGAGGGATGAATGGATAATCCTCACGCGACAGCATTGACCCGAATACCCTTGGGGATCAAGTATGTTGCTAAAGACCTAGTAAAACCAATGATAGCCCCCTTCGTTGAAGCATAATCAATCATGGTCCCTGAGCCACGGAAGGTCACAACGGAAGAAGTATTGATGATCCTACAGCAAGTGCGTGCACATGTGAGTATTTGATGGTTTAGTTTAGAAAAAGTACATACGAATCACCTCGTGCCATGTGAGGAAGAGCAAACTTCGCCATCGCAATCATCTGGATGATATTGGTCTTGAAGATGTCTTCAGTCTTATCTAGATCGGTTTTCTCAAATTCCGCACATAGGTACTGCTTGGACGCATTGTTGACAAGTATATTGACCGTGCCGTATCTGTAGACTCTCGGAGTCAGTCATTGGCTAATACCAGGGACAGTACTCTAGGCTGACTTCTTCACATGTTCATGAACTGCGTGGTGACAGAACTCGCGGTCTCTCAAATCACCTGGAATAAGGAGGCATGTCCGCTTCTCTTGCTCAACGGATTTTTTCGTTGTCTCTGCATCTGGCTGTTCCGAGGGCAGATACACTATCGTAACATCTGCACCCTCTCTTGCCATCAGAATAGCAACTGCTCTTCCAATTCCAGAACTAAGAAATGGTTAGCCCATTTAAGTTTGTTCCTGTGAAGTTGCTAGACATACTCTCCCCCAGTGACTAGAGCATTTTTGCCTTGCAGTTTTCCGGAACCTGTATATTCAGAAAAGCCGTGAAGACCCTCCAATTTGGTCGATTCACTGGGCTGTGTCATTACGCTCTCCAATCTAGCACACCATATTAGTAGAAGTATTGCGCTCGGGTAAAGAATTACTCACCCCGGCTTGTCCTGAGATTGTGCTGCCGGTGCAGGCTTGAAGGTGCCGTGTTCACCCATCGGGGATTCCATGCCAATAGCAGTAGAGCTGTTTAATGTTTAGGAAAATGTTGTTTAATATGGAGGAGAATTAGATAGATGCGCCGCCTTTAAAAGCCTGTCTTTGGCGAATCTTTTACTATCATTCTGTCGTCACATTGCCAGAGGCGTACGGGACTTGAAGCCGATAATTGATGAGGTTGCTGCTCTGTTGCACGGCCAACCATGTTAATAAACCCTGGAATTAGGTTCCTCCGATGGCTTTATATATGAATCAAGAATGGCATCCTGGTACTTATAGCAACTGACGTTAGACCATCACTACCAAATGCAAAAAATTGAGCTGTATGTCAATCATCAATAGGTATGTCTAGATCATTAGGAAAATATATTTCACAAGAAGAGTGCACATTAGAATCACACCTAACAACGTTACATTATCCTTCTAAAGGAAATATTAACACCATCTACTCCGTACATGGTAGTACTACCGTTGTACCTGCATCGATGTATATCTAAGCATAAACAAGCTCACCGCCTCCGGAGATCTCGTTTACCAACCAATAAGAAGTACGAACGGTGAAAAAACCAGTACGCTATACCAGAAATAGACAAGCTCCTTTCTGGCTTGGCCGTGCACGGAAGAGAAAAGGAAACAATTTTTCGCTCGACCTTTTTCTTCTTCTTTCTCTTCCTTGGGAAAGCTCGACTTTCTCCATCAGCAGAACGTTTCTTTCTGTTGATTAAGATTTCCCTCGGGTCGTGTCTCACTCATTATTTTAAGCTCTCTTTCTTTTAACCATGCCTATCACCGCTGGTGACGCAGCACCTGGCGCCGCCATGAAAGCTGAGATCACCGACTACGCCAAGGCCATGGAGGTTTTGGATACCTACACCACCCTTGATGGCCTTGATGCGGATACCCTGCTCGACTCTGACAAGCACGGTGCATTGACCTACAATGATTTCCTGATCCTGCCCGGTTATATCGGTAAGCCGAACCCCGCAGTAAAAAAAAAAAAAAAATCTTGCATTTTTCTAACCCGCACAGGTTTCCCCGCTTCCGATGTCTCCCTGGATACCCCTGTGACCAAGCGTATCTCCCTGAAGGCTCCCCTTCTGTCCTCTCCCATGGACACTGTCACCGAGCACAACATGGCTATCCACATGGCTCTGCTCGGTGGTCTGGGTGTTATCCACCACAACTGCTCTGCTGAGGATCAGGCCGAGATGGTCCGCAAGGTTAAGAGATATGAGAATGGTTTCATTCTGGACCCCGTTGTCATCTCTCCCAAGACCACCGTTGGTGAGGCTAGGGACCTCAAGACCAAGTGGGGCTTCGGTGGCTTCCCTGTCACTGGTAAGATACCCCATCTACTTCTCCCAGCACCTACCCCACCCACTTTGCATGATGACCATCCTCTTTTAATTATAACTTTCGTTCCACTGCAGCAACGAAAGTTGCACTGTAGAGAACCAGATTTTATCTGAACAATTTGTCTATTTTGGATATTGTCCTCACATAAGCTTTCAGCAGCAAATGCTAATGTTTGAACATAGAGAACGGAACCCTCAAGTCCAAGCTCGTTGGCATGGTTACCTCGCGTGACATTCAGTTCCACACTGATCTCAATGAACCCGTGACTGCCGTCATGGCCACGGATCTTGTTACTGCCCCGGCTGGCACCACCCTGGCCGAGGCCAATGAAGTCCTCCGTCAGTCCAAGAAGGGCAAGCTCCCCATTGTCGATGCCAACGGCAACATCGTCTCCCTGCTTTCCCGCTCTGATCTGATGAAGAACCTCCACTACCCTCTGGCCTCTAAGCTCCCCGACTCCAAGCAGCTGATCTCTGCCGCTGCCATTGGTACTCGTGAGGAGGACAAGCAGCGCCTCCAGCTCCTTGTTGAGGCTGGCTTGGACATTGTTATTCTGGACTCTAGCCAGGGTAACTCTATGTACCAGATCGAGATGATCAAGTACATTAAGAAGAATATGCCCGAGATCGACGTTATCGGTGGTAACGTCGTCACCCGTGAGCAGGCTGCTGCATTGATTGCCGCCGGTGTCGATGGCCTGAGAATTGGCATGGGCAGCGGTAGTGCTTGTATCACCCAAGAGGTCATGGCTGTTGGTCGTCCCCAGGCTGCTTCCGTGCGCAGCGTTTCATCCTTCGCTGCTCGCTTCGGTGTTCCCTGTATCGCCGATGGAGGTATCCAGAACGTCGGCCACATCGTCAAGGGTCTTGCCATGGGTGCCAGCACTATCATGATGGGCGGTCTCCTTGCCGGTACCACCGAGTCTCCCGGTGAGTACTACGTCAGCAACGAGGGCCAGCTCGTCAAGGCCTACCGTGGCATGGGCAGTATCGCCGCCATGGAGGATAAGAAGGCCGGTGGTGACGGAAAGGACAGCAAGGCCAGCAACGCTGGTACTGCTCGCTACTTCTCCGAGAAGGACCGTGTCCTTGTTGCCCAGGGTGTCGCTGGCTCCGTCCTTGACCGCGGATCCGTCACCAAGTTCATTCCTTACCTGATTGCCGGTGTCCAGCACTCCCTGCAGGACATTGGTGTCAAGAGCCTGACCGATATGCACGATGGTGTCAACAAGGGCACCGTGCGTTTCGAGATGCGAAGTGCCAGTGCTATGACCGAGGGTAACGTCCACGGTCTCCACAGCTACGACAAGAAGCTTTACTCGTAAGATCCAAGCTTTGTAAGGGTTGACTGGACCTTTTGTGAATACATCATCGGGGTCACGCCGATAGATGATGAGGCCTTGAAAATTAAAATAAGGGTATAGGATAGGAGTTTACGATTTGAAGATTTACGCCATTTCTGGTAATGAGCATACACGTTTTATTTTTCTCTCAATCTATTCCAACTGTAACTGTAAACGTCACGTAGAGGGTTCATGGAATGTTGCCCGAGCACATGGCGCTGCATTCGGCTAAGCTCGATGAGGTTAAGCTACACGCGGGGTACCGAGGAACTGCCTAGGCTCTCGGGTCTTTGCCTATCACTATATTGAGAAGCCGAGGAACAGGAACGGCTTCGAGGCCACGATGCCTTTTATCTGTCAAAGATCTATTTCTCGTCACTTATCACAACGATTGGGTCATCGATTTGCTGTTAGTCTTGTTTTTCGGACATCTCTTGCATCGCATATTGCCTCGGTTCAGTCATTTCAGCGCCCAAGCGATAAGTCCGCTTTGAGACAATACACGACTACAATTTCTTCCAATCCTCTGAAAATGTCCAGCTCAAAACGTGATAGTGAGCCCGCGGTGCCCCGGCCTAGTTCTAGGTAAGCTAGCAGCAAGGGACCACATGACTGGTGATGTCCACAGGGAGACATTTCATAAATAGTAAAAACTAACTATTATATAGCGTACTTCTGATATCCCCAAAGAATGAAATCCTTCTTCTTCATCGCGTGAAGACCTCTACGTCGTTTGCCTCTGCGCATGTCTTTCCAGGTGGCAACCTATCCAGCCAAGACGGGGAATGCCCACCACCCGAAGACCTAGCACGGCATGAAGATTCCCCTAGTTACCGACGTGCAGCGATAAGGGAACTCTTCGAAGAGAGTGGAATCCTTCTAGCTAAAGACCGGAACTCCGGGAAGATGCTTGCCGTCGACGAGCCTATCCGAGAGGCAGGCAGACGGCTCATTCATCAGAACAAGACCACCTTTGATGAATGGCTGAAGCAGCAAAGTGCTGATGCGGAGCCCGATATAGGTAAGTGTCTAGCTCGTGTAATTGAGACATGAAAGCAGCACGCTGACTCTACAGGCCAATTAATTCCCTTTACTCGCTGGGTTACGCCAACAAATGCCCCCAAGCGATACACCACTCAGATGTATCTGTATTTCTTGCCTTTGCCCATCAACGTGGATAAGAAGCTTCTCGACCAACTCCCATCAGAGGGAGAGCACGAGGAGCACCAGATTCCCACGAGCGATGGGGGAATCGAGGTTACGGAGGCACAGTTTCTTCCAGCCTCAGAGTGGGTTAGTCGTGCCCAAAAGGCAGAAATTATTCTATTCCCACCACAGTTCCTTCTTTTGCATTTGGTGTCGGGATTCCTGGACAGGGAGCCTCGTGCAGATGCTTCCGTGGAAGAGATGGAGAAGCGTCGTCAAGCGCTTGTTAAGTTTGTTCATTCGGGTTCTCCCCCATGGACAGAAAAATGCATATCTCCAAAAATGCTTCTTATGACCAGCGATGGGCGATCTGTGTTAGGACTGAATGATCCCGGACCTGAGCTGAAAGGGTCTTCCAAGCGAGGTGAGTCCGAAAGAGTGGTTCTTGTGCGGTTTAAAAAAGGAAGTGCACGAGAGGTGGCCGTGGGATGGAAGAAGGACGTGTTACAGGAACAAAGGGAAAAGAGTAATCTGTAAAATACTTACATTTACCCATAACTAGTACAATCAGCCCTAAATAGACGTATCCAGCAATCGATATGAACATTAGAGTTGAAATTGCCACGGCCTCCAGTACGGTTTCCACTAAAGCCACGCTTGCCCCACTTCGGCCACGCCAGCCCTCGATAAAATGTCACATGACCCACACAAATCATTTGAGGTCTTCAATTTAATGTGCGGCAGAAAAACCCTCCACCTCCAACCTCACCGTCGCCCGTCAAAACCTCAACACCAAACCCGCCAAAATGGAGAACGACAAGGGAGAGATCGTCGATCTGTACGTGCCATGGAATTTACACCCGTTCTCCCAGTCCCAAAACACCCTGTGCCCTGTGTCTGCGTGGCCGCATACAATCAGCAATCCCATCTCGATCCCAAGCCAAAGAATTGGACCCAGTGCGATCGGAGAGTGCGAGGATTGAAAAAAAATCTACAGCGCTGCTTAATTGCGATCGTTGGCGAGCCACCAGAAAAATTTCCAGGACACACAGGGTATCAGAGGGGAACACATTCACTCGCAAAACTCCAAAAAGAAGAACCCAGTCAACTAACATGACCCCCCTCTCAACAGCTACGTGCCCCGCAAGTGCAGCGCCACCAACCGCATCATCAAGGCCAACGACCACGCCTCCGTCCAGCTCTCCGTCGGCAAGGTTGACGAGAACGGCCGCTACACCGGCGAGAACCAGACCTACGCTCTTTGCGGCTTCATCCGTGCCCGCGGCGAGAGCGATGACTCCTTCAACCGCCTCACCCAGCGTGATGGATACCTCAAGAACGTCTGGGCCGCCTCCAGCCAGCGCTAAATCATCCGCAGCAATGTGGTTTTTTTCTACCGGGTGGTGTTGACGGGTTTATTTGATGGTACGTTATGATCATCTACATACATCCTGCATGTTTCATGTTCGAAGGCTAATTCGTCACAGAGGAACCGTGGCTTGATGGTCCGTGTTCGGGGAGTTGGTTTCAAGACCAAAAAAAAGGACGCAAGGGATATAGTTCTGTTCCTTAGTTCTTTTTTTTTCTTTTTCTCCTCTGAGAAACTCCTGTTTTCCTACCTATCTCTCGAAATGAATGGAATATCGACGACTTAATGGGTCAGGTTTTTTTTTCTCTATGAATATCGCCTGTTCTCTTCCTGTTATAGACTCCCACCCAACCTCATGAAGCACAAGCCAAAAAAAAAAGCTATGCCAAAAATCGAAACGATATCCCTTTCATATATTTCTTAGTCTCTGTCTGTTTCCTATTCGTTTATTACTTTCCCTTCTCGGCATATCAAGGCCTCCTCATTCTTTGTAGGCCCAGAAAACCAGACTGGTTCGCTGGTCTTGGTCTTCGGTGTCTCTAGCTCCATGAGTGAGGAGGTAGAAATACTTTTCATTGCCGAAGATTATGCTTCCGAGCTTTGCCTGCTGAAGAGCCACTGCTGCAGAGATCCATGCACCGGGGCACAGATACGGGTAAGACATCCATTGTAGACAGACACATGCTAGGTGAATAGCATTTCGACAGTCGGCTTTTTTACTCAATTGTCTCTACATCGACTGGCTATGCTGGATTCGTTTTTTTATCAAGTATTTTATTCACATCTTGTCCATCGTTGATATGTAATACGTTTCCTTCCACATAAACTCGTGATTGCAAGCGGGAAACCCCATAAGCAAGACACAACTAAAAGCACGTTCTTTGGTTTTTTTTTCTTCTATGTGTATTTTCCTGTTTAATCCTTCTCAAGACGAACAGCCGGGTTGGTCTCAATGAAGTTCAGGTCGACCTTGTGACCGAGCAGTTCACGAATGTTGCTGACGGCGTACCTAGAAGATATTAGTAAATGAAAATAAAATGGTAGGTGATGCAACAACGTACTTGATCATAGTAGGTCTCTCCAGACTCAATCCCCATCCGTAGACTCTCAGGTCCTTAGGCAGACCCATAGCCTCCAGCATCTCCGGACGGAACATGCCACTGTTACCGATCTCAACCCACTTGCCCAGACCGTCGTGGTAGCCGAAGATCTCCATACTAGGCTCAGTGTAAGGGTTGTAGGCGGGCTTGAAGCGCAGCTTGTGGATGCCCATCTTGGCGAAGAAGACCTCCATGAATCCAATCAGGCCACCAAGGGTCAGACCGAAGTCAGCAATGACACCCTCGACCTGGTGGAACTCTGCCAGATGAGTAGCATCGACGGACTCATTTCGGAAGACACGGTCGATACTGAAGAAGCGAGCCGGCCGGGGGTTGGCGGCCAGCTTGTGCAGCATGTAGGTCGAGATGGAGGTGGTGTGGGTGCGGAGCACCAGACGGAGCGACTCATCCGCGCTCCAGGGGTAGCGGTAGCCAATGGAGCCGAACTTTCCGTGCTCGTGGACCTCGCGGACGTTGTCCCAGTACTTCTTGTAGTCGAGGGCCTTCTCGGACTTTAGTTGTGCGGGGCGGTGGGGGTCGTTGGGAGGATCTTCGCGAGGACCGTCTGCCACGGCAGGGTCGGAGATGTAGAAGGTATCCTGGAGATCACGGGCGGGGTGTTGCTGGGGCACGAACAGAGCGTCGAAGTTCCAGAAGCCGGTCTCAACAAAGCGGTTGGTGGGCATCTCCTCGAAACCCATGTCGAAGAAGATGCTGCGGAACTCTTGGCGGACCTTGTTCAGCGGGTGTAGTGTACCAGATGGAGTCGGGGCGCCCTTAGCATTGAAGTTGTAGGGCTTGAGGTGCGCCGTCTTCCACGAGCCACTGGTAATCATCTCCGGGGTGAGGTCGGTCTGCTCCTTGACAAATTTTGGGGCGTACTTGGGACCCTTGGTGATCCTGAACGAAATCTCCTTTGCCAGACCGATCAATTTTCTCCGCTTGAGGTCAGCCAGGACCTTTTTATCCTCCAGAGTCTTTGTTTTTTGAACGGAAAGCAGTTGCTGTTGCGTCTCATCGACAATTGAGTCTGCGGATGCCCGCAGCAAATCCTGGTCCTTCTTAATCCAGCCACGCTTGAAGGCATTTCCTTGGCCAACTTTGGCATTCTCCTTGCCCACAATTCCGGGCAAGTCGGAGATCTTCAATCCGTCCATGGCAGCAAGTACCACGGCGAAGACCTTGGCCTCGTGACTGCCATTGGCGGCAATCTCCTGACCCTCAGCAGTGAGAGTAACAATTTCCTTCTCTAGGGTCTCATATTCGACCATCTGGCGTGAATCAAGGCGGTCGAGCGCACTCTTAACGTTCAATGAGGGGGTGGAGGGGAAGGCATCGTTGGAGAGGATGGGCGCATCAGACGCGGACAGGGCGTCCAAAATCTGGTTTGTCAAGTCGGACGCCATGGCTGCAGCCTTCTCCTGCAGAGTCAATTTTTGACGGGTGTTTTGAAGGTCGTTCTTTTGATCGGACAATATTTCACAGAATTATGACTCTGCGGGATTCCAAAAGATAAATACGTCAGGGCACACCGACCACTTGTGCTGTTTCCACCCCGCCATTTGATTGTTTACTGTTGACCAGTTGACTTGCTGATGAGTTGCCCTTAGAGGGACACATCCACGGTCTACCATCCACCATTCTAACATTTGAAGGTTAGTTAGGAAATAACGTATCTGCTAGTTACCTCCAACATTGTATATTGCAGGTATCCTTTTTTTTTCTACTGGATTTTATTTCATCTATAAAGGATCTATACAGAATCATAACCCATTACAAACATGGTTTCCTTTTTTTCCTTTTTTTTTTCCCCGGAGCTGTCAGTACATATATATGTTGTAGTAGTGAACAGCTTTCATATCCTCACCACCGCACGAGGTCCCCATGTGACCAATAGACGGGGCCAATACCTTAACCAAGGAAAACGGAACATCTGGAGACGCTAAGCCCGACGGCTCAGCCACCAAAAAAAGACGCAAATTGCGATGTAAATCAAACTATGGATCTGTGGCAGTACCCTAAAACGAACAGACATTTCTCGTTGGTTCTGTATAGGCTCAGACTAACTACGACTGGATCCCACTAGATCCCAGCTAATTGTTCTTCAAACTCTGTCTCGCCTATCGTTTCCTCTGGGAATAAGAAGGGGATGAGAAGTAATTTACCATTCAAAGGATATGGAAATAGGCTATTGAGAGCAAAACCACGAACCGGAGCCACCTTATGTGATCGACACTAGTTCCAGAGTCGATCACTTCTATACCTGGAGATGAAACGGGAATTGTGTATGTTGTACTCCGTAAGGAGTATCGGTATTGATATACCTAGGTAGGTAACTATGTAGTTAGTTAACTTGATACTTGGTATGTACATATAGATACATTATGCATGTTGATATAACATACGAAGTACCTCAGATATATATACGGAGTACCCATGTAGGTTTACCCATGTAACTAGGTATACAATATAACATACTAGCTAACTAATAACTAGATCAGTCCGTGCATCCCCATACAGTCACCTGGGCATTGATTTCAAAATGTGCAGAAACATAACCCATTTTTTTTCAGAACCTATTTTTACCCAATTTGGTCCATTTTATTCTATTTTTTTCTTCTTTTTCCTGATCACAGGCGATTTATAGATTCTACCTAACACATTTGAGACACATAGAAAGAACAAAAAACTCCCTCCAAAAAAATTATTCCCCCCTCCCCCCCAAAAAACCCCAAAGAGGCGACATACTATCACCGCCCCTTTCAAAATCTCTTTCCCCCTCCCCCCCATCCAAATTCCCGCTTTTCTCTTCTCATCCTCAAACCTCCTTTTTTTTGGGGGGTGATTTGATAAACTTTTTTTTTTTCTATTATCTGTTGTTTCTAAGTTTCTTTTTGTCTTTTCCCCCCCGCAGAGCCATCCGAAGTGGTGGCTTACATAACCGGGCGCGTTCTCCAGGGCTCCAGGGCTCCAGGGCTCCAAGGCTTATCCACCTATTTTCCCCCTTCCCGACTTTCCCAAGGTTTCCCAGATTCCCTTTCATATCTATCCCCCCGGTTGACTCGGGTTCTATTTTATTCCTATCTTCTATTTGGACTTGCCCCCCTCATGTCGCCTTAATTAGACTATATCTCTGTCATCCGGTCAGGATCCAGACTTAACCAAGTGAGTGATCCTGAAGCTTTATTATCTCTGATACCCTACATCCCATAATTCTCAACTAGGGTTATTGGTACTATAAAATATGTCTTGGATATTTTGTACTATGAACTAACCTATGTAGGCCACAATGGCTAGCGCGGACGAGACACTCGTGGCCGCGGCTGCCGTGCTGCAGAATCTAGCAAGAGACGAATCTATCCCCGGTTCCTCTTCGCCCCCATTTGATTTCCAGTTAGCCAACGGTACCAAATCGGCCAAACTTCCCGGAGAAAACAGTCCCGCCAAGGAAGCCTTCGAAGCCGAGCTTGAGGCCCTGGTGCGCCGCGTGCACAATCTGGAATTCCAAGCTGTCAGTCACCACAATTTCCAACAGCAGGCGGACCCCTACCAGACCACTCCGTCTGCTGAAGAGACCAACGAGAGGAATTTCTTGAGGACATTTGGGCTCTCTCGCTTGTCGTCCGGTCAAGATTCTGACTCTCTGTCACAGCAGCAAAAAGCGATCCCGGTCCCCGCGGACGAACCGCCCCTGGGAGAAATAGACGACGAATCCGATGATGAAGATGATAACGGCACCCGTGTCGTGCGGGAGGAAGATATTAGCTTCCTCCGCAACCACGTACAAAAGCAGGCCGAGGAGATAAGCAGCCAAAAGGATATTATTGCTCAGGTTCGCGACGAATTGCAGAAACAGGAGGAGCACACTCGCCGTGCTCTTACCAAGGTCGAAAATGAG